CAAGGCGCTGGGTTCTTGCAGGTGTGGATGTGGTCTGGATGTTGTCCTGTGTCCTGTGGTCTCTATTTTAGGAAGATTTTTCTTTGTTATATTTTCATAGCTCTATGTGTTTTTGGGAGGAGATTTCCACTGCTCTACTCACGCCGCCATCTTGGCTCCCCTCTGCAATTTGGGTCTTTTTTACATAGTTTACCAATTAACAAGTAAATGGAGAAAGTGTAGAAGGAGACATTGGATATTGTTTGAATCTAACAGCTTCAACATTTAACTTGGAAAGTTTGTCAGAATTTGTAGAGATTATATATAGGTAGAACAAATTTATAAGTAATAAAAATGGATATAAATGAATACAAATTAAGTTTTGGCAATGTTTTTTAGTGCTGCCATTACCCTTTCCATTATTTGTATGTGGTTTTTACCAGTAAGAATGCTGTTGTGTTCTTCAGTGGGCGAGTTTACATAGTATATGCAGTGTAATTGTACAGGACACAGGTTAATCTTTATTGTGATTGCTTCTGTTAACATTTTTCTTACCTTCTGTACTCCTGCTGTCATCTTGAAAGTCTTCAAAAAGGACAGCTTTAATTTGAAATATAATTGGAAATAGTAATTATAATAGGGCTAAATAGTACATGAGTTCACTGGACACTTTCTAGTACTTATTTTGAAGAAGACATTTCATAGTAACTCTGAGACAGGAACTATTGTTTTCCACTTAAAGATGAAAGATGAGTAAGGTTGGGCAAATATTAAAATTCAATAAACCTGGTACACAAGCATATGTTCTTAACCTCTAGTGTAATATTTGAATATGAATACTTAGTGTGTTATCACTATGTCTACCTCTCTCCCCTCCCATTCTCTGTCAACTTCTTTGTAGGTACCTTTATCATCTTTCACTTTGCTACCTACTCTTCTGTGACTGATTTCTTAGGTTTCACCTTTCTTCTTTATAGAATAGTCTATCATTCTTTTTGCTGAAAGCATCTTTGAGGAAACAGCAAGACTTTATTCTAGGTGTCTAGGAATCTGATTTTAGGGAAGATGAACTTTGTAGTCAGGAACTATATTGAGGCATGAAGATCATATACCTGCTTGCTTATCCTACCCTCCTCCCCTTTTGCTTCTATTTTAATCATGATTGCTACATACAAAAATATTTCTTTCTCTCCTCCTTATACCTTCAACTTTGCATGTGGTTTCTTTTTCTTTCTGCCTAGAGTACATTGTTAAGGATTTCTTTTAAGGATTTTTTGTCTGAAAAAAATTTCATTTCTGTCCTCTGCCATACATACCATTTCCAAGGCCCCGTCTACAGTCTAAGATTCTACAGAGCAGATTCGTCTTCTCCTCAGGTATTAGGTTCCTTTGTGCATACTCTTAAACTGAAGTTTTTCCTGTACTTCACTTTCCAGAAGTGTGGGTTGTGATGACTACTCCTTGCTGATGATCCTTTTCTTGTTCTTTACTGTTGTATTTGTTCTTTTCCCTCTAGTAATTTTAATGTAGGGATCTAGAAGGGAGAGAAGATAAACTGTTGTGTGTTTTGGACCATATTGAACTAGAAGACTTCATCAGTCATGTTTGAACTTAGGTCATTAGGATATACTGGTATTTAATTGTGTACTGTGCCTCCTGCTTCAACACTTGCAGGATCTTGCTAACTCTGCTATCTTTTGCATTCCCAGCATCAGTCTATTTTTCAGATTCCTGAATTTCATTTAATTTGGGTTTTGAGTACCAGGCCGTCAAGATTTTTTCTTAGTAATTACAAGAATCTTCTTTATATTATTTTGTTCACACTATTATCTGTTACCAAAAGTAATAATTGCAATAAATTTGTTTAGTACTATTTTTAGTGTTCTTCATTGACCTCTGTTTGAGATCTTCCTAATTTTCATTTTGTTCACTTCATGTGTAAGTTCTTCAGAAAAGCTATATAACAGTGATGTAATTTCTTTGTCCTTTTGGGCATGATGATGTCTTTCTTAGTGACTATATCTTAGACTTTTTAAAACAGCCAAGAAGTTGGAATGTTTGCCCTGGTAGATTAACATTTGTTTAACTTTTGGGAACATGAGGTTGCTTTTTTCTCATGTTGCTCTAGGTCCTTATTCTTTTATCATTCAGCATAGTAGTAAATGAAGCACCACACTAGCTTTATATTCTGAAGAGTTTGAAGCCTCATGTAATTTTTGAAAGTCCCTTCATGTCCCTAGACTCCTTGTTAAGTTTAGGTTTTGAGATGTCCACTAGGAAGTTTGGTTTATTTGAGGTGGGGCATCATCATAGGTTTCTAAGAAACTCACCATCTCACAGGATACTATCGTATTTACTACTCAGTGCTAACTTTAATTTAGATTTTCTGGGATTTCTCTCTTAAATCTTTTATTCTGAACTCTTCAACTATGATTTCAGAACTTTGTTAAAGGAAAAAATATACTTCGCTGCAGTAATTGTAAACAAGCCTATCTATAATACCTGTTTGATTATATATACACTAGAAATAGTTTTTGTATGTTGTCAACTGTAGTAGTCTTGAAAAAAGCTTTCAGTTATCAACTGTTATTCCTAGTACTATATTCAGAAGCCAGGATTGATTTGGTTGCCTTGCATCTTGTACAGTACCCTCAGTGTGATTAGATGGCCTGTAAGTATTTGAATGAATTAGTATTGTGAAAATAGAATTTTTTCATTAGTTATAAATTAAATAGGAATTTAGAAATAGAGGTACTGTATAAGTTCCTTGCTTACTGGTAATATCTTTATAAATGAGATAAAAAGAAAGAAAAGGAACTGGGAAAATTCTCTTTTCAAAAAAATGGAGAAGAGGAAAACAGTATACTTTATATTCCTAGTCTTAAAAGCCATTAGGATGAAATTAATAAAAAAAAGTCCTTGAGAAATATGGTAGAATGTAATTGATCTTGGTTTGGTTGTAGTTCTAACATTCTAGGCCATTGTGTAACTGAATTCATTTGTATTACATGACGTTCTCCAGTTCTTGCAATGATCTGTTTGATTATGTTTTAGCTTTATTTCCCAAGCAGGAATATATATAGCTAATATTTATTTAGCTTAATTATTTTGCCCAGGAAGCAGCTGTTATTTTTAAAATATAATCTTAAAGAATATATAATTCCTTTGGTGATTAATTTTGTGCTAAAATATAAACTGTATGTAACTCTTGCTCATGCTTTATTTATGCAGAATATCCTCCGAATCCTAAATCTAGAGCTCCAAGAATGCTGGTTATTAAGAAAGGTAATACAAAAGACTTACAGCTATCTGGATTCCCAGTAGTGGGAAATCTTCCGTCACAGCCAGTTAAGAATGGGACTGGTCCAAGTGTTTATAAAGGCCTGGTCCCTAAACCTGCTGCTCCACCTACAAAAGTAAGTTCTAAATCATTAAAAATGTAACTTTTTAAGTCCATGCCGATTGAATTACTTTGGGAAAGAATATTGAAAGATTTTATACCAAAGTGTGGGGACACTGGTGGGGTGCTGACTTTTAAGTGAAACGAGTTGGCCCACTGTGTATTATTTTAATTATTTGTAAGTAGTATGTATGTTTGTCCATGAATGTTATTTGTTATTTTAGTAGTAAATGAAATCTATAAAATTTTTGTTTTGTTAGATACATCTGTGTTTGCTCAATAGTAATTCATAATGTTGCCTTGGCGTTCAGTTTTAGGTTTTTGAAACTCCCATTTGTGTTCCTTGGTATTCAGCAAAAGAAACCTCTAACTGTAGGTTTTTAAAATTTAGGAAAAATAGCAATGTAGTCAGATGTTTTTATCTGAATATCAAGCTTTGACTTAATTTGTAGAAGAGAACCATATAGGAATGAGATGTAATATAAAAAAAAATTGTTTTAATGAGCCACATGTACTCCTCTTTATTTTATAGTGTCACTTTGTTTTTCTCTTCTATACTAATTGTTTTTGATACACAGTAACATTTGTGTATTTTTCTTTAGCCTACACAATGGAAAAGCCAAACTAAAGAAAATAAAGTAGGGACTTCTTTCCCTCATGAATCTACATATGGTGTTGGCAACTTTAATGCTTTTAAATCAGCTGCCAAGAATTTTAGTCCATCAACAACTTCAGTGAAAGAGGTATGTCACTAAAATTATTCCTGAGGAATGCAACATATCTTAATCATAATTTGATTGGCAGTGAACAAAAGGTGTAGATTCATTAAATTAATGCATTAAAATGAGATATTTTAGAAAACTTGATTCAGATAAATCCATCTTGTTTGATAACCACTTTTGCAGTTTAGGAATAGTTTTTAAAAAATTAGTGAAAATTTCCAAATATCTTAAAATGTAGAGAAAATAATACAGTGAAATACCACCCATATACGCACCAACCAGAAAGAATATTTTTTAAGAATTTTGAAAATTGCAATTTTTGATATTTGTGGTGGCTATACTATGCTGTAGGATTGAACCTTGACTAAAAATGAGGATTTATATTATAAAGTCTTCTTTTGGGAGTGATGGATGTTTTATTACTAACATTCAAGGAGGTAGAGAGAAGAGGGAAGGGTACATAATGTTATTGTATTGACTTTGAGTACCTGTTAGTGCAAGTATTTCTTTCTCATTTGAGCCAAGTTTCTGAAACCTGCAGACCGGAGAGTTCCCTGACCAATTCAAGGTCAAAAGACACTTGTGATTGTTGTTAAACGTGAAATTTCTCTGGGTACTATATTGAAGTGTCATAGTCTCTCATATACTAGTTCTCAGTCATAGAATTTTGAGCTGTGGTGGAAGGACCAGGATTCTCAACTGATGAATTGTGGCTTAGAGTCATTATTGTCTAAAGATATTATTGCCAACAGTTAAGTTAAACATTATGGTTTATTTCAGTGGCTAAAAAAATCTCTGTGACATAGAGTTCTAACGTCCTCTTGTATTCCACTGTCAAAACACCAAAAAAAAAAAAAGACTCCAGTACATGTCCCTGCCCTCCCACAGCTATTTACCCTGGTGAAATCCTTCCTGATAAATCCTATGTGTGCTGGCATATAAATAATTATAAAACAGTTTTTATTGGAGCTGTTATCAGAACCTTAGAGCTCTGTGAAACATGGTTTAAAAAAACTCCTCTAGGTATTATAGAAATGTTTAAATAGTTTCAGGATCCATTTTATAAAATAGTGTTTAAACTCCTAATTTAGAACATAGTTCATAGTATTACCAGCATGTTTTATGAGAAGAAAATTTTTTCGTTTACTCATTAAATGGGTTTGATAAAGCAGACTGTTAGAGTAATATGGATAGAAGGAAATAGACTTTGAAATCAATTTTGTATTGAAATTCAGGTGGAATAGGAAGTTGTGGAGTTGTGAACTTTATATTGACGTTAGTTCTCTGTCTACATGTTTACCAATACTCTGAATTTTTTCTTAGTGTAATCGCTCAAATTCCTCTTCACCTGTTGACAAACTTAATCAGCAGCCTCGCCTAACCAAACTGACACGTATGCGCACTGATAAGAAGAGTGAATTTTTGAAGGCATTGAAAAGGGACAGAGTAGAAGAAGAACATGAAGATGAAAGCCATGCTGGCTCAGAGAAGGTAAATGAGTGTGGAGTAACTCTTGGTTTGACATTAATATGTCATTGAAATATTTGAGGAAATACAGTTTAGGACCTTTTAATAAACTATAATCAAATTTTCATCTCCTGAAAGGCTGCTATTTGCACTAATAATGACTTTTTTTAAAAGTAGATTTTTCTTATTCTGTAGTTTTGTGCAAAAAAAAATCCTATTCATCTTTTTCTTCTGTTTTCCCCATTTTGCCTACCTTCATTCATCCTTTTGGTTTTTCACCTTTGTTGAAAATATGATTATACATAGAGTCAGAAAGCTGTGGTTAATCCTTCACAGCTTAGTTTTACATCTTATGAGAATAAGTACTAGATTTATATATTATCAGTGGAAATTAACCAGGATCTATTACATTTCTTAACAAGTGTATTCTCTAACTCATTCTTTTTTTTAACCCCTAAAACTCAGGATGATGACTCATTTAATTTGCATAACAGCAATAGTACTCACCAAGAAAGGGATATAAACCGAAACTTTGATGAAAACGAAATTCCGCAAGAGAATGGTAATGCTTCAGTGATTTCCCAACAGATTATTCGGTCTTCAACCTTGCCACAAACTGATGTTCTTTCAAGTTCACTTGAGGCAGAACACAGGTTAATATTTATTTTCTCTGCATTTTCTACATCTAGAATTTTGACATTATTATAGAAATGTTGTAATATATTTTTTAATTTAATATTGAGATGATTTATATAACATAAATTTCATCTGTTTTTAAGTGTACAGTTCAGTGAATTTTGGTATATTCAAAGTTGTGCAGCTATCGCCACAGTCTAATTTTAGAACTTTGCCATCACCCCATAAAGAAAACCTGTCTCATACACAGTTACTCCTCATTTTTACACTCTCCTAGACAACCACCAAGCTACTTTCTGTATCTATAGATTTATCCTTTTATGGATATTAGTGTAGTCATACATTGGTGTTTTATGTCTGTCTTCTTTCACCTGATAAATAATACTTCCAAGGTTCATTTTGTAAGATGTGTCACTGCTTTGTTCTGTTTAATTGCCATATAGTACACTGTATGGCTCTAACACATTTTACTCAATCAGTTGATGGATATTGGGTTATTTGTACTTTTTTGAGTATTCTGGATACTACTGTGCTACTCTGAATGTTCACATACAAGTTTTGGTATGGACATGTTTTACTTTGGGGAGCGTATACTAGGACTGAAATTGCTGGTACATATGCTGAACATTTTGAGAAATTGCCATGCCAAACTGTCCAAAATGACTGTGCCATTTTACATCCTTACCAGTATTATATGAAGGTTCCAATTTCTCTATATTCTCATCAACAGTTGTTACCATCTGGCTTTTTTATTACAGCCGTTCTAATGGCTATGAAGTGGTATCTTTTTATGGTTGTTAATAAGCCTTTCTTTAATGTTCACTGTGTAGGGTCTTTTCAAATAGTACTTCTTAACAACTTGTATACCTTTCAAGAAATATCTGTTGAAGTTCTTTGATCATTTTTGCATTATTTGTCTCACTGACAAATATTCATTATACATTTCGCATATGTTCCATATATACCATTTTCCCATGTTTTCCCCATCTTCTGAAATGCAAAAACTTAATTTTGATAAGTCATTTTGTCAGTTTTTCCCTTTTATTGCTTGGGCGTCTTTTGTGTATGTTGTGAGGGTAGGGGTCCAGATTCATCCTTTTCCATATGGACATCTAATTGCCCCCAAATGTGATTTATTTTTTTACATTAGAGGACAGTTTTTTTTAATTGACATATCATTGATACACAATCTTATATTGGTTTCATATACACAACAAAGTGGTTCAACAATTACCCATATTATTAAATCCTCACTCCATCTAGTGCGGTTACTGCCTTAACAGGAAGATGTTACAGAATTGTTGATTGTATTCTCCTTGCTGCACTACTATCACTGTGACCATCTTATATTATGATTGAGAATTTTTGTGCCGCTTTATCCCCCTCACACTCCCTACCTACTCCAACCCCTCCCCCATGGTAACCACTAGTCATTTCTCAGTGTCTATGAGTGTACTGCCGTTCTGTTCATTCTGTTTTGCTTTGTTTTTGTATTTCACAAATAAGTGAAATCACATGGTATTTGTCTTTATCTACCTGGCTTATTTCACTGGGCTTAATAACCTGTAGATCCATCAATGTTGCAAATGGCAGAATTTCTTTCCTTTTTAAGGCTGAATAATATTCCATTGTGCATATGTACCACCTCTTTATCCATTCATCTCTTAATGAACACTTTTGTCATATGGTATTTCTATTATTACTTTTTTGAGTAACTTCCATAACTGCTTTCCACTGTGGCTACACCAGTTTACATTCCCACCAGCAGTGAGGGGGGTTCCCTTTTCTCCACATCCTTGTCAGCATTTGTTATTTCTTGTCTTTTAGATAGTGGCCACTCTGGCTGGTGTGAGATGATATCTTACTGTGGTTTTGATTTGCATTTCCATGATGATTAGCAATGTGGAGCATCTTTTCATGTGTTGCTTTTCATCTGTTGGCCATCCGTATTTCTTCTTTGGATGTCTGTTCAGGTCTCCTGCCTATTTTTTGATTGGGTTATTTGTTTTTTTGCTGTTGAGGCATATGAGTTCTTTATATTTTGGATGTTAACCTGTTAATCGGATGAATCATTCATGAATATATTGTCCCATACTGTAAGTTATCTATTAGTTCTGCTGATCATGTCCTTTGCTGTATAGAAAGTAGCTTTTAGTTTGATGGAGTCCTACTTTTCCATTATTGATCTTGTTTCCCTTGCCTGAGGAAATTGTCCAGGAAAAAATTGTTAGTATATAGGAATGCAACAGATTTCTGTGTATTAATTTTGTATCCTGCAACTTTGCTGAATCCAGTCATTAGTTCTAATACTTTTTTGGTGGAATCTAAAGGATTTTCTATATATATAACAACTTATTGTCTGCAAATAGTGAGTTGTTACTTCTTCCTTAACAATTTGGATGCCTTTTGTCTCTTTGTGTTGTCTGATTGCCATGACTAGGACTTCTAGTACTATGTTGAATATAAGTGGTGAGAGTAGACATCCTTATCTTGTTCCTCATCTTAGAGGAAAACTTTCAGCTTTTCACTGAATATGATGCTAGCTGTCGATTTATTGTATGTAGCCTTTATTACGTCGAGGTCGTACCCTCTGTACCCATTTTGTTGAGAGATTTTATCATGAATGGATGTTGAATTTTGCCAAATGGCACTGTCAGCATATATTCACATGATTATGTGGTTTTTATCCTTTTTGTTAATGTGGTGTATGGTATTGATTAATTTATGAATATTATACCATGCTTGCATCCCTGGAATAAATCCTACTTGGTTGTGATGGGTAATGCTTTTGATGTATTTTTTAATTCAGTTTGAGGATTTTTGCATCTATGTTCATCAGGGATATTGGTCTGTAGTTTTTCTTGTTTTGTGGTGTCTTTGTCTGGTTTTGGTATTAGAGCGATGCTGATCTCATAGAATGAGTTTGGAAGTAGTACCTGTTCTTCTATTTTTTGGACTACTTTAAGAAGGATGGGTATTAGCTCTTTGAATATTTGGTAGAATTCAGCTGTGAAGGTATTTTGGTTCTGGACTTTTGTTTATTGGGAGTATCTTTGATTACCAGTTTATTTTCATTGCTGGTAATTGGTCTGCTCAGATTTTCTGTTTCTTCCTGGATCAGTCTTGGAAGATTGTATTTTGTGTTGGTTGTCCAGTTTATTGGTGTTTAATTTTACATATTCTCTGATAATTCTATTTCTGAGGTACCCATTGTAGCTATTCCTTCTTCATATTTTGTTCATGTGTGTATTCTCTTTTTTTCTTGGTTAAATTAAGTCTGGTTAGGGATTTATCTCTTGTTTATTTTCTCAAGGAACTAGTTCTTGGTATCATTAATTTTTTTCCCATTGTTTTATTCTTCATTATTTTATTTATTTCTGCTCTGATCTGTATTATGTCCCTCCTTCTGACTTCAAGTTTCATTTGTTCTTATTTTTCTAGTTTCTTTGACTGTGGTTTTAGACTATTTGGGATTGTTCTTGTTTCTTGAGATAAACCTGTGTTGCCATGTACTTTCTTTCCTCTTAGAACTACCTTTGCCATGTCCTACAGATATTTGGGCCGTTGCATGTTTGTTTTCATTTGTCTCCATGTATTGCTTGATTTGTTTTCATTTGTTCATTGATCCTTTGGTTATTTAGAATTATGTTGTTAAGTCTCCATGTGTTTATAGGCTTTTTTATTTTCTTTGTGTAATTTACTTCTAGTTTCATACCATTGTGATCTGAGAAGTTGCTTGATTCAACTTCAATCTTTTTAAATTTATTGAGGCTCTTTTTTGTGGCCTAGTATGTGATCTGTTCTGGAGAATGTTCTGTGTACACTTGAGAAAAATGTGTATCCTACTGCTTTTGGATGGAGTGTTCTGTAGATGTCTATTAAGTCCATCTGATCTAATGTGTTGTTCAGTGCCTCTGTTTCCCTATGTATTTTTCTGTCTGGTTGATCTGTCTATTGATGTGAGTGGTGTGTTAAAATCTCCTACAGCAAATGTGTTGTAATCTATTTCTCCTTTAATTCTGTTAATATTCATTTTACATATTTAGGTGCTTGTATGTTGGGTGCATAGATATAATGGTTATATCCTCTTGTTGGACTGATCCCCTTATCATTATGTAATGTCTTTGCCTCTTGTGACTTCCTTTGTTTTGAAATCCATTTTGTCTGATGTAAGTACTGCTACTACTACTCCTTTCTCCCTATTGTTTGTATGAAATACGTTCTTCCATTCCTTTCCTTTTAGTCTGTGTATGTCTTTGGGTCTGAAATGAGTCTCCTGCAGGCATCATATAGATGAGTCTTGTTTCTTTATCCATTCTGCCATTCTGTGTCTTTTGATTGGTGTACTTAATCCATTTACACTTAAGGTAATTTATTGATGGGTGTGTATTTATTGCCATTTTATTGTTTTCTGTTTGTTTTTATAGATCCTCTCTGTTCTCTTCTTCCTCTCTTATACTCTTATTTGATGGTTTCCTTTTGTGTTATCATTGGACTTCTCTTAATTTCTTGTTTATCTATTATAGGCTTTCAGTTTGTAGTTAGCAAAGGTTCAAGGATAGTTCCTGACTATATAACAGTCTAAATTAAGTTGCTGATTACTCTTTCAAACACAATCTAAAAGTACTCCTCCTCCTTCTCCTCCACACTTTATGTATTAGATTTCATAATCTGCACTTTTCGTGTATTCCATTATTGATTTTCTGTACAGTTTCGCTACTTTTTAAAAATTTTGTGCTTGCCATTCTAATTATGTCTTGGTGTTGTCTTCCTCGGGTTCCTTTTGTTAGTAACTCTCTTTGCTTCTCTGACTTTGAGTGTCTTTCCTCAGATTGGGGAAGCTTTCAATTATTTTCTCAAGGAGACTTTCTATCCCTTTGTCTCTCTCTTCTCCTTTTGGTTCCCCTGTTATGCAAATATTGTTTTGTTTGGATTGGTCACACAGCTCTCATTCTTTCATTCTTAGAGATCCTTTTTTCTCTCTGTTTTCAACTTTGTGTTTCTGTCCTCTCAGTTC